TCAAATCTACAATGCTTTTGTAAGTGATCATCATATGCAACAGATGAAATTTGTTAGGTTTGCACAAAATATATATTATGTGCACATAATATGGTACTATTTTTCAGAAATTACATAGGCTACAAGCATTTGACAAAAAAGTCATGCACAGCCAGGGAAAATATTACCCTCAACATCTTGAGGCCTCCCTAAAGATGTTGCTCTACTGGGTTTGCATCTCCCCAACCTTCAGCAGTGACCAACAATGTGAATGAAGCTCATCTGTTGCATATGATGATCACTTACAAAAGCATTGTAGATTTGAAAGTATTAAAAGCATTAAATATGGTAATATATTATATAATTGGTAAAAGTCCTTAAAAAAGTCAAAGCTCAATGTATTAATATTTTCTGATATAAATTAATAAATAGGATAGAGAAGACACTCCAGATAAAACGAGAGAAGAAATAGAAAAAAATTATAATGCATTAAAGTCAAGTCTTAGTGTAGGTATCCATAATTTATATTTTTGTTCTTGCTCAATTTGAAACTTTTAGATACTCACTTTTTCACCTTTTCATATAGAGTCCCAAGACTGATTCTGATGTATCTCTTTATGAAACCCTCAAAAAAAATTTGGTGAAATACATTATGACCTTTCATGGCAAGATCCAAAAGCTAATATGGTTTTAAGTGATGATTCGGTTTTAGTGGAAAATTAGGATGGAGACAAAAACATGCTTTCATGGTAAATTTATATGATTCACAAATATATCCATGAAATGATACCTAGTATTCTTACTTTCTTATTTATTATTAGGAACCATGTGAAAACATGAAATGTGCATTACCTGAGTCAGTTGTTTCTAAGTGTGAGCAGTTTGTATGTGATTTTAATGAGGTGATTAATACAGATATACCTAGAAACATTGTACATGATAAGACTTGGAAAGAAAAAATATCTACATTAGAGAAAAGAGCTGAGCATATACTGAGTGTTCTGTAAGTAATTTTGTTTTCATGGATGATTAACTAATGATTGGTTTCTTATTCTTCTTTTACTCATTTAGCAGTGAGGCGTGGAATAATCCTGCATTTAAAGATAGTACAGCTCATAAAGAGCAAAGTGAAGGGACCTATATTGTGGATGTGATAATGCCTTTACTTTGAGCTAGTTTAGAGGATATGCCAAACGGAAGAATTTGTTTGAGCATGTAAACAAAATTTATATTTAGCTAAGTAATGACCTTATTATGAAGATCTTTAAAGTTGATGTTTATTACAGGGCAGAACGGCAGTGCTTGGCAAGCAAATTTCAAAGGAATCTTGGTGAGGTAGTGGAAAACGAATTGGGAAAATACCTGATGTCATGGTACTGATGAAGTATTGAGGAAAAATCAACAAACTTACATATGCAGAGTGCTCTCAAATCATTTGTAATGATACAAAAAAAGCTAATGATGAAGTAAAGTTGTGGCAAGAAACATTGGATGGCATGAATTTTGTTAATTTAGGATGCAGACCTTGCAATCTATTTGGTATAGTAGGGATTCAGGTTGCTGGTGAAAATGTGTATTTGAATGTTCTAGTAAATGATGCAGGTAGTCTATCTCACTATTTTCATGTCAACCATGCAGGAATTCCCCTAACACCAAGATCACCACAACAATTAAAACTGCTTATACAACTGTTGTTACCTTAAGGAATATTTTGATTGTGAGTAAGAATTTATTAATGCAAGCCTTATATCTGGCTAACTCAAATCCTTCCCAAAATGTCAAACCAGCACAATTAATCCTTTTAAAATTAGAACATTTGTATTTCTGTATGTATTTTTTTATATCTATTTTCATATATAAAGCAGTTGAAAAAAAGACAGAAAGAGATTCTATGCTGATATTACTATTTACTTGAATTCGAAAATACAAATAATAAGAAATAATTATTCTTTTGGTTTTACAATAACATGAACTTGTTTTGGATCAGGAGTTGCATTGAAATATTCAGACACCTTGGCTGTCAATTTCGTAGGAATAAATACATAGAGATTGAAATCAGTAGAAAGTTCTTGGTGACCTTTATTTATAAAAATAGACTTGCCTAAAATATTATTATCTAAAAATAAAAATATTCTAGTTATACAATTAAGGGATAAAAAACAACTAAATTAAAATCCCACTTGGGCAATCTGGTGGGATTGACCACACAAGCAAGCCCTCGACTCAAGACCTCCTGGGAGGGATTTTTTTTTTAATTAATTATGTAATTTAATTATTAATTTATTATTATTATTATTAGCTGACTCAATTGAATAGTTTTAGATGCATTGAGTCAAATAAAGTTTTGGATTATATAATTCCTTCTGAAAATAAAGATTATTTTTTAAATGAAAATGTTATTTTTACAACATTGTTAAAAAATATTTTTATAAACAAATATGTGCGTAAAACCTTTTTGTTGAACAGCTCCATAGATGCCACCATCAGACAATCTAACAATATACTCACTTTATGTAATTAATCATTATAGAATGTTATGGCACTACATGTTTCAGCCTTGCATTTGAATGTAGTGTGTAAAGTCAAGTCATTTCAGCACTACCACATGTGTCAACCCTCAAATTCAAATGCAACGTAATTAGCAAAACAAATGCATGTTTTTTTTTGGTCCACAATTGAGGGTAATGGGTCTATTTATACATTTTTGTAGTAATTTATTAGACTACTTGATCAATGCACCATTTTTTAACAAAATAGTCTATGTTATTAACCGATTTACATTATTTGTTGATCCACTATATATTTTTGATCAATGCACCATTTTGTAACAAAATAGCCTATTTAATTAACTGATGCACATTATTTTTTGGTCCACTAATTGTTTGGCCACAAAATAGTCTATTTTATTAAAGAA